TTTTTAGCTGTGAATACATTCATTTTAAAAATCAACATTATATTCAGTGAAAAAAGCAATAAGGAAAATGAGTTGGAAAGTTCATAAGAGTAGATGTCTACAGAGGACAAACATCCACCTCAGCAGAACTCTTCAAAAACAACGGCTTTGAAATCTGTTGGAACTCTAGTCCCTCATATGGGTTAGATGTGTCATCTTGGTTAAGTCAATTAATTCCTCTAAGCCTGATTACTTTACCTGCAAAATGGGTAACAGTGTCTTCCTCTTTGAGCCGGATTGAGAATTAAATGAGATAACCCATGGAAAGCACTTAGTAAAGCATAGTAAACACTCAATAAATGGTTCCTATTACTAGATGACTTTATCATCCCTTCCAATTCCCAGATTTCATGATACTAACTTTGGCACCATGAAATTTAAGACAAACTTGAACTCCAGCTACAATAATATAATCAATAAATTAAACCTTCATTTTAATTTCAGAATACTAAAATAGTTTTGTTTAAAATACATTCATATCTAATGCTTTCTCCCCACTATTATAAAAATAAAACCCACAATTATCAATAAAAGCTAGTCTATTATTAGTCATAATCTTAAATCCAAAATTCACTTGTATTTTAGAACTAAAATGAAAACAGAGAAATGTCTTAAAAGTGCTAAAAATAGCACTGTAAAAAATTGGTTACTTTTATTTCCAGAATATTCTCTATATTTTTAAATGTACTTTTCAGAAATGGCATGGAGTTGAAAATAGCTACTATTGGTACTTTAACATGTTTGCAATTTCTTTTAAATCAACAAGTATATAATAAAATCAATCAACAACAGGCTCTCTTCAGTTATTCATTACTACTCTTTTCCAATGATAGTTACAGGTCTTTCCTTTTCCACTTGTTTCTCATTTGGCTGAAGAATAAGAATCTTCTCTAACATTCAACATCCTGATGCACAAAGAAGCTCTAAAATATTCTCACTTCTATCCAGATTTAATTGTTCAATATCCATTCACTCCATTAATTAGAATGTAATCATATATAACAAATAATATATTATCATAGATTTTAGGTTTCTTCTAAAATAATTTTATTTTTTCTCTTTCTTCCAGAAGGAGTCACTATACCCTGCTTATAGAATGATCACTTTCCCCAATCCACTTTTTAAAATAATGTATGTACACAGGGATTCTTCATTATACCAACAAAGTAAGTTTATAAATACATTAAAATCCACTGTGTATTTTGGACACTGAAAACAATCAGATCTTGAGCTTTGTAGCTGCCTGGCTCTTGTACTAAGTACTGTGGTCAATGTTTCCTACTATATTTTTTTCCTTCCATATGGTAAAAACTATGCTTTTAGTTTAGAAATCTAAATGTTATTACTCGTTAGCAAGTTTTCGTTCCCGATGGTGGGGCTGTGCTCTTGTGGGTGTCTCTCTCTGCCTTCAAATTGTGAGCATTTACAAAGGAAAAGGAGAAAGAATTGTAATTAGGTGGCAACATGCTCTCATTTTTATGCATGAGTTAGCCTGTAACCTTGGTTTGCATTTTTTGCTGTGTACCTGGCCAGGTTTCTACATTCTTCTAGAACTCTTTGTAGTTTTCACAAAGTCATGACCTAAACACGATACGTACTATGGTTATTGCCCCTCATCACTAAAGTTATGGGTGGATGGGCCAGACTGTGTATTCTTTTATAATGGCAAGTCTAGGATACTATTCTAGCTGACAGTGGAAGATAAAATATCTGAAATATTTTTACATTTTCTAATGAAGATAAAATTCCAAAAGGCTAAAATAACTGTCATTACAAAGAATGTCAAAGAGGAATACCTGAGAGGCCAAGGAGGGTGGATCACAAGGTCAGGAGGTCGAGACCATCCTGGCTAACATAGTGAAACCCCGTCTCTACTAAAAATACAAAAAAATTAGCTGGGCGTGGTGGCGGACGCCTGTAGTCCCAGCTACTCAAGAGGCTGAGGCAGGAGAATGGTGTGAACCCGGGAGGTGGAGCTTGCAGTGAGCCGAAATCCTGCCACTGCACTCTAACCTGGGTGACAGAGCAAAACTCTGTCTCAAAAAATAATAATAATAAAAAATAAAACATAAAGATGAACATCTTTTCTTCATAAATAATTGACTTATCTATAAAGACACTAACTTTATATTTATTTATTTGTCTACTTATTAATAGTTTTCCCAATGAGATAGTAAGCTCCATGAGGGCAGGGACTGTATCTGCTTTCTCACTGCATTTTTCACCTGCAGCTTAACACAGTGTCTTGGTGTTACCTAGGAATCTTTAAATAAATATTTGTTTTAAAAAATGAGTAAGTAGCATATCAAGTGTTACCATTCTCTATCACGGTAAAATCTAATTAAATAGGATATAGACATTGCTCAAAATTTTGACACCTTTATAACTTTCTCTTTAATTTCACAGGAAATATATGTATCTTTAATTTTCACGGGATGAAAATGAACATTTATTGTGTCTGTTGTGCATTAGGCACTCAGGCACTGTACTAGATTCAATGCTTTGCAGAAACTCATATTTAAACAGTATCATATCATCTTACAATCAAGTTTTTAACACATAAATAGGTCTATTCCTACCTCTACCATTGACTATGTCACTTTTAATTTCTTTTAATTTCATGCACAGAGCTAAAAACAAAAATTTAGTAAGTAAGAATTTAATGTTACTAATATAATTAACTCCTCTCTTGTGAGGAACTGTTATGGAACAAAGTTTTCCACTTTGGAGTTTTCCAGATTTACCTCTTTCAACACAAATGTTTTTCCTAAATTTCAACTATTTTAATGAAAATATTTTTAAGCATAGTATTTGTAACTGTATGGTCTCAGCCAAAATGTTTGGAGTATGAATCTATTTTTTTGGATATCTCAGATAAGGATAGTGGTAAGGATAGCAGAGTGGTTAAGACCAGAGGTTTTAGAACCAGACTATGTAGGCGGAAATTCTGGCACTACTGCTTACTAGCTGTGTGATTTTAGATAAGTTAACTTCCTTAAGTCTGTTTCCTTGTCTGTAAAATAAGCATAATCCTAATATCTACATTTTAGGGCAGTCTTGAGGATCAAATGACGACATATGCAGAGTGCTTACCATACAGATGATGCGAGGCAAATAGTAAGTGCTCAATAAATGCTAGCTAAAAACGTTTTAATTTATTAAGGTACTGAGCACTTGCGTGAGCATGCACTTTTTCTATATCATAGAAAATGACCCCAAACTGCTATTAAAAAAAAATTATTCGTATATAAATTTTCTTTATAGATTTTGTTATCTAAATAAAGTTTTGTTCTTCTGTTTCTTACCTTAATCTTATTTGTTAATTGATGCCTTTATAGTACCCCCTTCTTCTAATTTGAAGCTCTACTGTGGGCTGAGAAACCAAAACACTGTATTGGTTAGAAATGTGTAAGAAGATTCCTCAGCAAAGGGCCTCAGGGGTTCTTCGAAGAGCAAGGTACATAAGTCACATCTATTTCCACTTAGAGGCCTTTCTGGATTACTTATTGTGTTCTCAGTTGTGTTTGGGAAAGTTGGAAATACCAAATAAGTGACCTAAGGATTAATGAGGCACTATTGTTCTAATTCTGTCAAGCATTAGATTAATCAAAAACAAATGAAAGGTTGATTTCTTCCTGTTTTGCACTGTTAATTTTCTACAATTATTAATCAGCTACCAATGTAATTATTAAACTTTCAGTCCAAATAATGTTTTTAGTGTAATACCTGAATCAATACACAGATCCTATATTACAAACCCCATTTTAAAACTTGGGTATTACTAATTGTGCTATTATACAAAGTCCAAGCAAAATAAAATGTTTCTGTGTGATTCAACCCACAGTTCTTATGTGGAGGTTATCGAGTCAATGAAAGGGAAAAAAACATGAATCGTCAAAAGGGCTAAATGAAATAACAATCAATGGATAAAGTAAAAAGAGAGTAAAACAGAAATTGTTAAGCTCTTGAAATCGAAATAAAAAGAAATGGAAAGATTACAGACTAACAAAGAAAAGTAAGGAAAAATTTACCAACTTTATTCCCAAGCCCTAAGTGAATAAAGTGTTTCCAATTTAAAGTTCAGTTTAGTAGCACCTCTACTTTTTTAACCCTACTGGGAAGGCAGGAGAGAGACTCTGATAAGAAAACCATGTGCATCCTTGATGATGAAACCTTCTGCTCAGGTGGCCACATGCCGGAAGAGGCACAGTGGATCCCCACACTTAGGAAATCTAGGCCTGAGCCAGAAACTGGCAGCTATCAGGCCAAAATATTTATATTTTACGTCTTATCTTAAAAATTCATATATATTTTGCATTTCACTCTGTTACATACTATGGAATTTTGAATATAAAAATAATGTTTCTAACAACTGAATTATTTAACTCCTCTCATTCCCAAATATTCAAGTAAAATTGATGCTCCAGGAAGATTCGCACTGTGGTTCTTGTGGCTTTCCCTTCCACTTGAGCAATACCAATATAGTCAGGGGTATGTGAGAAGCACAGGTGAGATGGTATCTTATTATAATATGATGAGCTCAAGGGTCTCAAATGATCCACAGAAAACTAATAATCCAATAATCATTAAATAAAAGCTTCAATTCTCATGTAAATCAGTAAAGCTAAAAAATCCAAAAGAATGGTATAAACTAGGCCCTGAAATCTTAAAATGCCCTCTTAGCTTTCGAGCTACAGTTTTTATAAAAAGATCAATAATGATGTCTTCCTGTTCCAATATGGAATTAGTGTCTCCCTAAATACATTAACTTCAGAAGTATTGAATTACCAAGGAGGATCAGCACCACAATGAAACAAATAGTTGTTCTTTGCAAACTAGTGATTACCAGTAAAGAAAACCCACCAAAGGCTGCTGGATACAAAATGACAAAAGGCAAAGATGTCAGGACAAATGATAATAAAGTATGGTAGTCACCCAAAATCCAGAAGGATAACACTCACCCTCGTCCTGATAATCTGACAAAAAGTGTGCATCGGATGTGAGGGACAAGCCAAGTGTCCCACTGTGATTATCATCAGAGCTGTCCTGTCCAAAGTCTCCTCCTGAGGGACAAAAAAGAGAGAAAATAAGGTCAACCTTTGGACATCCTTATAAAAGGATACATCCTTGGTATGGTACTGGAAGAGATCTATGTATGATCATAAAAAAAAAAGAGATTATCTTTTACTCGATGATGAACATGGCCACTATCCATTAACATATGGGAAACAGTTAAACAAGTTCAAGAACCAACTTACCTGGATGAAAAATTTTCCACTCAAGTAACTCTGTCACTAAAACTTAGGAACTGTTAGCTTAGAGTGGGAATACCTCTTGCCACCAGAAAGGAATTTATCTATCATACTTAAAATAAAAACATAGCTATATAAATTTATATTCAGCCAGGCATGGTGGGTCACGCCTGTAATCCCAGCACTTTGGGAGGCCCAGGCAGGTGGATCACCTGAGGTCAGGAGTTCAAGATCAGCCTGGCCAATATGGTGAAACCCCATCTCCTTTTCTCAAAAATTAGCAGGGCGTGGTGGTGGGCGCCTGTAATCCCAGCTACTCAGGAGGCTAGGGCAGGAGAATTGCTTGAACCCGGGAGGTGGAGGTTGCAGTGAGCCGAGATTGTACCATTGCACTCCAGCCTGGGTGACAAGAGCAAGACTCCATCTAAAAAAAAAAAATTAAATTTATATTAATACATACTATGTCTCCCTGCATGACTCTATTTCAAGTGACATAGGACTGACGCAAAGGTTTAACCTTCTATACATGATATAATATAGCAAGCTCAATAGTCTTTCTCTGAAAAGTAAGAGAAGTATAAAAATAGAGAGAACCTAGACTTTGCTGGACTGTATTCCTATTTGTTCTGCAACACTAACAAAGTTTTTTCTTTGTAATTCTAGTTTACAGCCTAGGCAACTGACCTCTTAGGAATTCTAAAAGCCCTAAGAAGATAATATTTGTTCTGTAAAATGACTTTGATAAAAGGTAATGTATATACAATACTGAATTATGCAATTAATGCTAATCTCTTTTGTGTGTTTTCAATATACATTGGATTGTATTCTGTAGAAATGGCCAATGTTATTTTGATACTTTAAAAGGTTCCGACAGAAGATGTTAGCCCATTAAGAAACCGGAAGAAAAGGCTCTGTATTGCAAATGACTTTCCTTAAAATCCCCCAAATAGAGGTACAGTCTGCTGATAAAAGGACACCGACAGCTGCTTATTTCATTTCACAAACATGAAAATATGATTTTCAACTGAATTTAATATTATCTCAAATACTAATTTCCAAAGGAAATCACCAATGCTAATCTCAGTAAATACTGTAGAGTTTTGGCCTTGGATTTCAACTAGGGAGCTGTGAAACCAAACAACCTACATAGAATCTGTATTGCCTCACTTTAAAGGTTTATTTCCTACAATTAAACTAGAAAACTAGGGAGGTTATAAAATGATAAAAAGAGAATGGCTGTAGCCTTCTCTTTCCATAAATTAGATGATCATATCTAGACTCTTCTTCAAATGCTGTATGGTAGGTAGATGTCCATAACTGAGTTGAACACCTACAAATATAGGACTTTAGAAATAAACTATAAAGTTTATTATGGAAAAGATAAATAAAAATTGTAGAAAACTCACACAATAGTCATTGGCCAAAGCCAGAAGAGTTACTCTCCTTTATTAGTTTACTTATCAGGATACAAAGTTTATAGCTATGCTTACAGCATCACTGTGTAATTTCCATAATAACCAGAAAAATTCTCAAATACTGGACTGAGGATTAAAATGCTCAAATTTTACATCATTGGAAGTCCATTAAAATTATATTATCAACACAATCTAACTGCCTGGCTAGTAACCTGAAAGTGAGCTGCAAGGCTAAATGGAATTTTTATTTTAAGCCAAATAAAAATCCTTAAAAATAAAAAAAAGTACTGGAATTGCCAAGCAAAATTTAACTTTTGTAGGATATACTGAACATTATTTATAAACATTATTTATAAACTAGTTTTCTGCTTAGTTCAAAAATGTGGCAAATCTACCATTAAAGAAAAAGAACCTAGCCAGGCCAGTAGCTCGCGCCTGTAATCCCAGCACTTTGGAGGCCAAGGCAGGTGGATGACTTGAGCCTAGGAGTTTGAGACCAACCTGGACAACATGATGAAACTCTGTCTCTACAAAAAGTAGAAAAATTAGCCAGGCATGGTGGCTTGTGCCTGTGGTCCCAGCTACTTGAGAGGCTGAGATGGGGGGATTGTTTGAGCCAAGGAGGTAAAAGCTACGGTGAGCCATGACTATGCCACTGCACTCCAACCTAGACAACAGAGTGAGCCCTGTCTCTCTAAAAAAAAAAAAAAAAAAAAAAAAAAAAAGAAAAGAAAAGAAAAAAGAAAAAAGTACATGCTCGCATTCTAAGCTTTTTAAAAAAACATGCATATCAGGAAGGGCTTTTTTTTTTTTTTTAGTGAACATTTTATTTTGGAATAATTTTAGATTTATGTAAGTGTTGCAAAGATAGTACAGAGTTCCTACACACCCTTCCCCCAGGTTCCCCCAATCTCAACTTCTTACATAATTGAGGTCTATCTGCCAAAACCAATAAATTAACATTGGTATATTGCTATTAACTAAACTACAGACTCTATTTGGATTTCACAAGTTTTCCATTAATGTCCTTTTTCTGTTTTAGGATCCAATCCAGGGTATCACATTGCCTTCACAGCCTCAGTTTTTAAAGTCTTACCCAAAACATCTGCCTGGGTTTGGCACTTGCTTTCCTAACTTCAGATGGAAAAGTCACTTCCACATGATTCCTATGGTTTCTGAGTATAGTCACCCAAGGTGTGCTTTCAGCAGCCACCCCTGGTGTCAAACACGAGACAGTTCTTCTGTAAAGTACCCAACGACAAAGATATACAACTCAATGCAGCAAAACAGAGCCTAGGTCAGTAGTACAAATGGTTGTGGTGCAGGAACATTTAGAAATAAGCTTTACACCCAAGTGCAATTAGTTCCTGATGATGGAGATGTTGTTATAAGTGTTCTTAGTGTCATATCAAGTGACCCAGTTCCCTTGGGCACACACAGAAACAAGGCTATAGCACCATATAAATAGACACTCCTGTGTAATTGAAATGATTATAACTACTGAGGATGCATGGGTGAAAAGTTTTATAGAAGAACAGCAATTACTGTGGTCATTTTGGATTTGTTTAAGTTTAAAAACATCATTTTTCTTTAAAACATAACCGTATGTGTTCTCTGGATTTGTCTATAGCTCTGACAATTGCAGTTCCAAATGGCCACAACTGTAGTCCAGTGGGATCAGACATAAATGATCACAAACTATAGTGACAGACATTTCCACTCAGCATCTCTACAATTAGGGCTTAGAACTCCATCTGCTTAGAGTGGCTTTCTCACAAGCAAGACCCTTTGCCACTGGAGACACACTTTCCCTCTGCAACTCCAGCAGAATCAATATATTTCTATACAGATATATATTTTAACACACCATATCTCCATTAATCACATCCATTACCTTCAGTCCTTTCTCTTTGTATTTCTAATCAAGATCTGGTGGAACTATATCAAGGTTTCACCTGCTATTAGCAGGTAATTTGCTCCTATAGCCTAAGTGTCATAAGAATCGGGCATTAGATACACTCCTTGGTATATTCAATGGCAGGTCCTCCACCAAGTACGTGCTGAGGGGCCCATAAGCGGGATGATTTCTCTATTCTTTTTTTCTGAGAGTCAAACTCAATTTCATTCATGCTCCACAGAGTGATAAGTTGGGAATTTCTGAGGGTTGAAGCAGAAAGATAAAGCAGCTTTGTGTCAGGTGTAAGGTAATTATTTCCTAGGGTTTCTGTGCTATTTGTTTTTATTCCCTGTGTTTTCATTAACAGTTAATGAGCTTTCCCCCTTAATTCTGAAACAATAGGCTTGGCCACTAGAAGTTGGCTTTTTCTGCCACAGATTCAACCAGCTGTTGCTGCTCCATAAACTTTATGGAGAAGTGAATTAAACTGCTAAAACTTTCATTTACTAATTCAATTCCAAATAAAACAGGGAGAAAAATGAACCATGATGATGTTCCCCTTGTAACTATTTTAGTTCACAGCAAATCCGTTTAGTCCTGAATTTGCAGGTACTATTTTGAGACAAAAACAGGCCATAATGACAATTTTACCAGATAAATGAGAAAGAAATGAAAAAAGACAGAAAATGGTTTAAGCATTAAAAAAAGTGAGAAAATAACAAATAACAGAGAAAACATATAAGTTTGCTTATTCAATATGTAAAGGCTCGATTTTTTATGTTAGTCTACGTCATCATCTTTTATTTCTCTTCAAATTAATTGTGAGCTATATTATAAAAACTCTACTCATATTTGCAACCGACTGTTTATATGGCGCGGTTAAAAACTAGGGTTTGCAGCCGGGCGTCGTGGCTCATGCCTGTAATCCTAGCACTTTGGGAGGCCGAGGCAGGCAGATCACCTGAGTTCAGAGTTTGAGACCAGCCTGACCAACATGGAAAACCCTGTCTCTACTAAAAATACAAAAAATTAGCTGGGAGTGGTGGCACATGCCTGTAATCCCAGCTACTCGGGAGGCTGAGGCAGGAGAATCGCTTGAACCCGGGAGGCAGAGGTTGCGGTGAGCCGAAATTGTGCCATTGCACTCCAGCCTGGGCAACAAGAGCGAAACTCCATCTCAAAAAAAAGAATGACAACAACAAAAAACACTAGGGTTTGCTATTACTTCACCAAGTATCTCTGGATTATATAAGGAAATTGAGATTAATTTAAAATTGAAAAATTTTAAATTATTATTGTTGTTGGAAGGGAACACGTGACTTCCTATACTATTTAAGATCCCGTAAGAAATACAGCTCCCTCTTTAAACTAATAAATTCTCACTAAAATGCTATAAATGAGGCTCCCTGATCCAAGTCCAGTTAGTTTTCATGCTTGATAGCATTAATACTGCAAGATTTTCATGGGCCAATTTAATAGTAATGCAGCTCCCAAAGCTG